AAATAATAATAATAAAAGCAGTAGAAGAGAACTTCAGATAGTCATAAGTACTGTGGATAAAACAGGGCAGTAGGGTAGAGATGACTTGGGGTGGGGCATCTTTGGTTAGAAGCTACAAGGAGATCCCCTCAGAGACATTTGAACTGAGACCTACTGAAGACAAGAGATCCCCATGCAGAGGCAGGAGGGAAAAGCCTTCTTGGAAGTACCAAATCTTGAGATGGAAACAGGGGTACTGTTTTCAAGAGGAAGGAAGCAGGTCAAGGAGGTTGGAGTGAGAGGCACAGAAATAGCCCAGAGTCGTATTTGTGGGGCCTCACTAGCAGAGTTGAGGAGTTGGATCTTTTTGAAGTGGAGTGGGAAGCCACTGGAGGGTTTAAGCCATAGGGTTACAAGATTGATGCATAGAAAAGACTGCTCAGGTTGGCAGCATGGAGAATGACTGTGTGTCTGTGCATATCTGTGTCTGTTTGTGTGTCGGGGGCGGGGGGCACTTTAGGAATGACTGATTGGCCACAGCAATGACCCTTGCTTTTCCTATAGTCACCAGTAGAATTGAGGAAACACTCCCCCTGCCAAGATGCTTCCTTCACTCATTCCTTCACGCCTTCATTCTTTTAAAACACATTTACATAGTGTCTATTATGTACCAGGGAGTGTTGTATGTGCCAGGTAACAAAGATGACCAAAAGAGTCATGGCCCTGGCCTCACAGAACTTACCATAGAGTGGAGAGGGAGCTGGTAATCGGTCGCAGTCCACAGCATAATGGTGTCATTTCTGATTCAGCACTGCATGGATGGGAATCCAGGAGGGCTTCACTGAGGAAGTCTCAGAGAACCCAAGGCCCCAAGTTTGAGTGAGAGGCCACTGGGCCAGGACCGTTCCAGGTGGCAGGAACAGAGGCAGGAGAGAGCACTGCCCGCCCGTCCACCGGTATGACCAGTGCTGAGAGCCAGGGGAAGGCGGTATGACATGAGGCTGGCGAGGTAGGAGATGGCAAGTCCAGCAAGGCCTCGAGGGCCATAGGAATATCCTGGTCTTTATCCCAAGGACAGTGGGAACTACTGAGGGTCTTAAGCAAGACAGTGGCACAATTGTTTTTGCATGTTTGCATATCTAGATGATTTAAGTAGGAAGAATGGTGAGGTGGGAGGTGACTAGCATGGTCAGCAGGGTGAAAGGTGAGAAACTAGGTCTAGGAGGACAGTAGTGGCGATGGAGGGGATGTTTGCAATTCCAGAAGTTTCAGGGAGAAACTGACAATAACCTTTCTTTTGACCTAAGAGTGAAGAGCTTAGATTCCTCCCAGATTCATGATTCTTTGGAAAGTCCATCTGTTCTGAGTTTGGGCTCTGTGTGTGTGTGTGTGTGTGTGCATGCACGCACATGTGCATGCATGTGTACAGAGTCCCTAAGACTGTTCCTCTAGAGCTCTTGTTCCAAAGATGTTTTGTTTATTGCAGTAACATTGGATTATAACATTGTATAAATTTCAGGTGTACATCATTATACTTCTATTTCTGCATAGATTACATCGTGTTCACCACCCAAATACTAATTACAACCCATCACCACACACATGTGCCGATTATCCCTTTCGCCCTCCTCCCTCCCCCCTTCCCCTCTGGTAACCACCAATCCAATCTCTGTCTCTATGTGTTTGTTTGTTATTCTCTACTACTTAATGGCGGAGATCATACGGTATTTGACCTTCTCCCTCTGACTTATTTCACTTTGCATAATACCCTCAATGTCCATCCATGTTGTCACAAATGCCTGGATTTCATCGTTTCTTATGGCTGAGTAGTATTCCATTGTGTATATATACCACATCTTCTTTATCCATTTGTCCCTTGATGGGCACTTAGGTTGCTTGCAAGTCTTGGCTATTGTGAATAATGCTGCAATGAACACAGAGGTGCATATATCTTTACGCATTGGTGTTTTCAAGTTCTTTGAATAAATACCCAACAGCGGAATAGCTGGATCATATGGTAGTTCTATCCTTGATTTTTTGAGGAATCTCCATACCGTTTTCCATAGTGGCTGCAGCAGTTTGCACTCCCACCAGCAGTGTATAAGAGTTCCCTTCTCTCCACATCCTCTCCAACACATGTTGTTTTCTGTCTTGTTAATTATAGCTATTCTGACAGGCGTGAGGTGATATCTCGTAGTTTTGATTTGCATTTCCCTGATAGTTAATGATTCTGAACATCTTTTCATGTGTCTGTTGGCCATCTGTATATCTTCTTTGGAGAAGTGTCTGTTCAGGTCTTTTACCCATTTTTGAATTGGGTTGTTAGTTTTTTTGTTGTTGAGATGCATGAGTTCTTTATATATTTTGGAGATTAAGCCCTTATCAGATGTATGGTTTGCAAATATCTTCTCCCAATTTTTAGGTTGTCTTTTCGTTTTGTTGATGGTTTCCTTTGCTGTGTAGAAGCTTTTTAGTTTGATGTAGTCCCATTTGTTTATTTTTTCTACTGTTTCTCTTGCCCGCTCAGACATGGTGCTTGAAAATACGTTGCTAAGACCGATGTCGAAGAGCGTACTGCCTATATTTTCTTCTAGAAGTTTCATAGTTTCAGGTCTTACATTCAAGTCTTTAATCCATTTGGAGTTAATTTTTGTGTATGGTGTAAGGTAAGGGTCTACTTTCATTTTTTTGCATGTGGCTATCCAGTTTTCCCACCACCATTTGTTGAAGAGACTTTCTTTTCTCCATTGTATGTTCTTGGCTCCTTTGTCGAAGATTAGCTGTCCATAGATGTGTGGGTTTATTTCTGGGCTTTCGATTCTATTCCATTGATCTGTGTGTCTGTTTTTGTGCCAGTACCATGCTGTTTTGGTTACTATAGCTTTGTAGTATATTTTGAAATCAGGGAGTGTGATACCTCCAGCTTTGTTCTTTTTTCTCAGGATTCCTTTAGCTATTTGGGGTCTTTTGTTGTTCCATATAAATTTTAGGATTCTTTGTTCTATTTCTTTGAAAAATGTTGTTGGAACTTTGATAGGGATTGCACTGAATCTATAGATTGCTTTAGGAAGTATGGACATCTTAACTATGTTAATTCTTCCAATCCAAGAGCATGGAATATCTTTCCATTTCCCAAAAATGTTTTTGATAGGTGCCATGTAAGCCTAATAGAGCAATTACCATCCGGTTAATAAAATAGGCTGAAATGAATTCTTTACTAATCACTTTCCAATAGCATGGGCTTCCCTGAATTCATCTTAGCCATCCAGTCTTTACATAACACTTTTAATTTTAATTTACAGGTGTTCTGTAGATTTTGATTTAATTTGTACAAAGAATATAATTTTAGGAGGCTGCTGTTAAAGGAAGAGGGACTGTGCTATCTCAGTGTTGCAGAGGTGGTTTAGAATCATGCAACAAAAGGAAATTAAATTAAAAAGAAAAACAGGCATCCTGTGTTTTAATCCATAATTGTTTTCTGCTGTGATCACATAGCCAAGAAGAATTCAATAGTTTGTCCATTATCAGCAATCATTTAGGTGTTTTGTAGCAAATGTATTACTGTACTATATATGTCCTTTTGAAAATGTGTGAGTCTGCCTAAGATATTAGGTACATTTATTAAATACTTAACTCACATTAAATTGAATGTGTTATCTTTCTAATAAAAACTAAGCCAACTCAAAAGGAGTCCTATTGTCTTCAATGGCTATGAGGGAAGCACCAAGATGGTTTGAGGTTTGCTTGACAACCTCCGCCAGTTGTGATAAAGGAAAGATAAAGAGAATAGGTTAGCATCTATGAGGAAACTTTTAACCTTTGTCTGTTCCTTCCCTCTCTCATTTGTCATGACTCCTCTTCTCAAGTGACAGTACTGGCCTGGCATCAATAGGATGTACGCGTCTGAGTTGTTTTCCAGCAGTTGAGTGCTTGTTAGAGAGCCTTCTCACTTCTCTTCCATCCTGTCCTTTGAGTAAATAGTAGCCTTTTGTGGCTCGTGGGGTCAAGTTTTTATCTGTGGTCTCAGAGGCTGCTTTTTTTATTTCTCTGTTAAAAATTGGTTCCCTGCTACAGGAACAGAATCCATACAGTTGGCCTTGTTCACTCCATGTTCTTACTGGTTGAGCTGATTGATTTCGTAAAAGAATATTCATTTGCATAATGGTACCATCAACCTTATGTTTTAGAATGGATTTAAATATCTTAGAGCATAGTTCTTAAAATTAAGTAAACAACCAGCTTCTTAGAGTAGCTCAGATGTAAAAAAGGAGGTTACGGGAAAAGAAGGTACAATGCATAAAATTTATTAACATCGTATGAATAAACCTAACTCTTTTTTTTTAACACTTATATAGCTTATTTATTTTTGGTCTATAAATGAAATTAAACCTAACTCTTTAAATAAATGATTTTCTTTTATAATGTCTTCTTGTTGCTATACTTGTATCCCTAGAGAATCGTTTAGGGACTCTGTCTATTTTTAAAGAAGAGGTTATGATAATAATAACAACAATAATAATTATAAAAATAATAAAGATGATGACATCAACTGCTATTATGACATTTTGGATTGGACTCACCCGATTATATTTTCTCTTGTCTGGTAATTTAGCTAAATGCTGTACTTAGACTGTTGAAACAATGTATTAGAAAATAAATGCGACCTTATAAATTATCCATTTAAGCCCAAATGAAAAATGTATATATTAATAAAATCATGTGCCATTTGTCATTTTTTTCATAGTCTTCATAAACATGTAACTTCAGCTGACAGATTTAAAATTATATATGTATACATGTGTATATATGTTTATGTATACACGTATGTACTTCCAAACCATTTACTCAAGGAAATCTTTTCAGATCTTTTTTTAAGTGAGTACATGTGTAAGAAAACCAGAACAACCGATTGTGAAATAGTCCCAGGTAAACTCTTAAGTGCATTTCATAAATGAGTTAACCGTATGTCAACAGTGTGGCAGGATTTCTCTCTCACGTTCTCCCGCCTTCCTTTTGTTCAGAGAATTTGGATGGAGAGACCCAGAACTGCCTGAAGTGATTCAGATGTTGCAACATCAGTTTCCTTCGGTCCAGTCTAATGCTGCAGCCTATTTACAACACCTCTGTTTTGGAGACAATAAAATTAAAGCTGAGGTAAGTGCTACTTGGATTCTCAAATGACTGGTGTCAAATTCATCATCTCTTAGATTTTTAGAATAATCTTGAAAGGGGAAAGAAATAGGAAAATTAAAGTTATGTTGTCAAAATTTAGATCCATATTTAAGACTGAAACATAGCACTTTTCATCTAATTAATTGGCATGTGGCATGCCTATGCGTACATTCTTGTTTTTTAATATTTGAGTACTGAAGAATAGATGACCAAGAGTACGTGCCAGTATCAACAGAGGCAAGATTGTCAGATGCTGTACTTTTGGTGTGATTTGCCTTTCTCTTCCCAATTCCATCTCAGGAGTCATCTCTGCCCCTAAAGCCTAAAGAAATACAAAGCATCTTTTGTTGTCTCCTGAAATTACAAGGTTACTATAGTCAGTATATGGTATCATTTGTCCTTCCTGGAAAACTCATTGATAAGATGGGAACTTTAGGCAGTAAGCCAGCTGTGCGTTAAAACCAAGCATTCTGAGCCATTTACAAAGATACCACTGGGTATAATATGGATATATGTGTTTTATTAAAGAGATTATTGTCTGTGTCCATCATGTCAACAATTGTTAACAAACTCTGTGTTTTGGAATACTTTAAAGTGCGTACATTGTGGTGTGTGATATTTCTGGAAAATCACATTGGTCAGCACAGCTAACTCTGATTTTTTAGACAACAGACAAGCATTTGCATATAAGCAGCTGAGTAATCAAATTTTTAAAAAAGATTTTATAAGCTATAAAGAGTCATCTCCATATCATGTAAGCAATTTTGAGGATGAGTGTAAATTAGTTTAAGAGTGGAAAGAAGAGATTTGAAGATATAATTGCAATTTATTATAGATTTTGCTTACTTGCACTGGGATGTATATAGCCTAGCAGCTTTTCATCATTTTTTCTGTCTCTCTGCCACTGGGACTACAGAGGACTTGATCCATGCTTGTTCTTAGAAAAGTCATATTGTTTTGTAGAATGAATATAGAGCAGTGGTTCTCAGCCAGGTGTAATTTTGCCTCTCAAGGGACAGTTGGCAGCATCTGGAGGTATTTTTGGTTGTCACAGCTGGAGAAGGTGGTGGTGGCACCATTAGCATCTAGTAGGTAGTGGTCAGAAATGCTGAAAAATATCCTATAATGCACAGGGCAACCCCCACAACAAAGAGTTATCCAGTCCCAAATATCAATAGTGCCAAGGCTGAGATAGAGAAAAATATTGTCCATCTACGATAAATTTAAAAATGTCAAAAAATACTATTAAAATGATCTAAAAAGAAATTAAAGTTATATGGCTCCTGTCCCAAATGGAAATTATCTTCATCATTCTCTGCCTTTAACAGAAAAGAAAATAGCCATTCAAAATGAAGGACAGATTTCTGATTAGGGGAATCCCACCCTGTCATTTTTTGAAGATTATAACTTTGAGGGTTTCTCTAAAGGCCATGAAAGCATTGCATTACATTATTGGCATAAAGTTGATTCAGAAGTGTTGTGGTACCCCCACAAAAGCAGGATGGACTCCTACCCAAAATTTGTTCTGATGTCAAGACTGATGACACCATACACACCCTAGGAGAGGGTGAAAAGATGGAATACTCTCATAATGAGGCTTATGAAGGTGAGCAGTGTGGCTCCCAAGCAGGACTGACCATGGCTTGAGAGAGCAGGAAAGAAGACTGTCTTGAGGATTTTATGGTCGTTAGGGGGTAGGGCTGGCGAGGTTGTCACAAGTGGCCAGGGGCTTGCATGGTTTGAACTTCCTACTGGTGCCAATGGAAGAGGCACCGAGTTTTGTTATCAGCTTGCTCAGATGTGGGCAGAGGGGAAGAGGGAGGCTGAGTCTTAAAAGCTGTCAGAAGCCAAACATCAAAAAATGGAGTCAAACTCTTTATTATAAGGAGTCATGCGGTCAGGCAGTACAGACATCACGGCCTGGGGAGGTTTGAAGTCACTAGTCTAACTGGCTCTGTCTACGTGATCCAGGGACTGGCCTTGAAGCCTCTCAGTAGCAATGACGCCCAACAGCGGGCTAGAGACTTGTATGTGGCCACATCAGAAACACCCCCAGTGCCCTGTGGTAGACAAGGTGGTGCAATGGAAGGATGACCAGCACACCCATCAGTGTCACAGGTGCATCTTCTGATGCCGCTTCCCTGCTCACCAGCTGTGTCTCCTTGAATGAACTGATTGACCTCTCAAGCCTCTTTTCCTGCCTTTAAAATAGAGATGCTGATACGTCCAGTGTAGAGTCTATGTAGGGAATAAATGACTTAATGTACGGAAAACGTTTAGCAGTGACATAGTCATTCATTTATATTCTGTTTTGGCCAGGAACACAGTTAAGACACTCAAGTTACTATTTTATCTTATGTGTGTATGCCCACATCTGTGAGTACATGTGCTTATTTTTTTATTTTGCTGTGGTTGCCCTCAGGGTTGCCTATATCACCTCTCGCTGCTTGGAGATTCTTCCAACAGCTGGCTCTTCGAGCAGTGTTCATATTACAGACATCCTTCCTCTGCTCCACCTCCTAAAGGCTCCAAACACTGCCAGGACCTCATGATAATGTTCGCCTGGTTCCTGCGAGGCTGGGGTGAGAAGGAGGGGTGATGTAGGGCACAGCCTGAAACCAGGTTGACAAAAGGAGATCAAAGTTGGTAAAAGCCAATGGAACAGAGAAAGTGCAAAAGGCTTAAATAAAATACAAAGTGAGCCATCTGGACTTTCCCTTTCTCTCTCCTTCAGTCACACAGGGAGCGCACATGCATACACATACACAGACACGCACAGACTTGTAACCTCTGATAGGGATTTTGCACAGAACTGTTTTGTTCTCTCATCCTAACTCAGGGCCCAGACCTTTAGTAATGGTTCTCCCTTTGTGACTGATGGCTTCCTGTCATGTTTTCATATACAGGTATTGATTTTTGTAATTACCTGTTGTCCAAATACTAATCTTGCAGGCACTAGCCTTTGCAAATTTGCTCAGTCTTCTAGTCTTTCTATTGCATTTTATTGAATTGATTTAGCCCTTCAGTCTACATTTCATTATTGGTATTGACTTTGTTCACACAACGGCTAGGCCATTGAGCAAAAGGCAGAATTAAATCTCCTATATGTGGAGGGTCATAAATCATACCTTTCTCATTCCTTATTACAGTGCTTTGTACAGTTTTCATATAATGAAACCAAGAAATTCAGTTTTGTTCAAAATGATGCCAGATCTTAGAGATACAAAGTTGAGAATTCACTTCCATACCTCGGCTGATTTGAAAGCCCTGTCCCTCACTCTTCCTCCTGGCCCAGTGAACTTGGATTTAAGGCAGTCTCCTGGTTCCCCTTCCAGCAGAGAGGTGGAAATGAGGGGGGAGGTTGGGTGTGGTCAGTTGGGCAACCACCAGTGACTAAGATAGAGTCTGCAATCCATGGGGTGCCCTGATCTGGGGCAGAATACTTTGAAGACCAGCAAGTGTCCAAACATTGAGATATGAGGTTCAGAGTTCAGAGCCAGACTGAGATGAGATCAGAAGAAAAGCAATGGAGGAAAAGTTAAAGAAGACGGGGGAGGGAGAAAGCATAAGGAGAGGGTCTGGGTCATTGATGCAAACACACCAACTTTGTGCAGCTCCTTTTCATGGACTAATGAATATCTGATATGTAGGTGGGTCCCCTTGCTTTAAAGGGCAGAGGCGTGATTGGCATGAATGGGTGTCAGTAACATTTGAACTATGTCTGCCATCTACACTGTCTCCTAGATTGTTGGGAATGTCACAATAAATTGAGCTTTAGATGATCTAGAGAGTTATTAGACATGAAAATTAGCTCATGTGTGTGTACTACAGGCATCTTTTAGGAGATGCTTAAATGTTGATAACTTCTCAGTACTTTTTCATAAATCTTTTCTTTATTCTTTCCAGGAACTCCTCCTCAGTTAAGAATATTAAGAACACCATATTGATTTGGGGATAAGACCAAGTGCTTTTCATGGGTTGTGATGACTTGAGTTTATTTATGCTCCTCCCTCCTGCATTTGCTGCCATTTCTTCTCATGCACACATTAGAGTAGGCACTAATATTCAGGTGGACACCTCATATTCACACCTGGACAGTCATACACAAACAGGAGCATATATATGCATGTGTACGCTATATGGTGGCATTTAAGGTAATGTCTCGCCTGGAGATTAAAAAGTATTTGCACATTTTCAAGTGATAAGAAGTGATTATTTTTAAAATGTAAAATTTTTAATATTTTAATT